GGGGGGGGGTGCCGCACACAAAAACCCGCCCGGCCCACGGAGCCGAATTCCTGCAGGATGAGAAAACAGCCGGAGCTTGCGGTCCCCTCGGACGGGGCGGCCGGCGGGAGGTACGCGGAGCCCACGTTGAGGGCGGCCGGGACCCGGCTGGCCCGGGGGTCCCTCACCCGCACCGCATCTCTGGGCACCCACCGGCACCACAGCCGAGGGTGGCCGGGAGCAGGACACCGGCACGGATCCATCGCTGCTTTCCAGCCCGCATCCCACGAGCGCCGTGCTGCTGGCACAGGACAGTGTCTCGCCTGGCGGGGTGGGTGCCCACCCAGCCCCCCTGAAGGGACTCCCCCAGCCCCCTGGGGCTCCCAGCCCTTCCTCCCCGATGATTTACAGCCAGGATGTTTCCTGAGCCACACCAGACCCCGGCACATTGTGCTTGGGCTCAACCAGCACGTCCCGCACCAGCCCAGAGCTGGCAGGAGCCGGCCCCGGCTCCCAGGCCAGATCCCCCTAATCCCCGATGGAGACTGACCTGCAGCAGGAACATTTAATGGCATTTTGGGAGCATTAACTCTTCCGGCTCTGGTGAGAACCACCATCCTGAGGGGGGTTTGCAGCCCCTGTGAAACAGCAAACCCGAAGGCGTTTTGCCCCGGGGAGCAGCTCAGCACCTCCATTCTCCCCTCTTGGGGATCACGTAGTGGAGAGGACAAAAAATCCGATGGGAGCCCTTTCCTTTTTTTTGTTGTTGTTTTTATTTTTTGGAGCGGGGGTGATCTGTGGCTCCTTGGGGAAGCCCTTTTGCCCCAGTCCAGGTCGGGGGACCCTCAACACCCCCATGCTGGTGTGAGCAGGCTCTGCACAATGCTCTGGCACGGTGATGTCCAGCCAGTAGCACCAACACAGTGCTGTGACCGGCCACCCCTGCCCCTTCCCTGCCTGCCAGCACACGGCTGCACTGCTGTGGCTCTGGACTGCCCACGGTGATTCTGGGGCTCCCCAGGGCCCAAAACCCCAAAGCACAGCCAGGTCTGTCACCAACTGGCCATGACCATGCATGGAGGGCTGGAGCGTGTCCCATGGCTGTGCCCTGAATCCCATTCCTCAGCCAAGCAGGCACCCAAGGGTCCATCCAGCTGCATATGCTGAGGGAAGGTTACGCTGCCCTGCGACACTCATGGGGAGGCTGATGTTCTACAAACAGGGAATTGCATCAGGCTAGCTCAGCCAGGAGCTGCCAGGGCCTGTACCTTCCATGCCCTGGCGGCCTGAAAGCCCCAGACCGACCCAGCCGGCCCCAGGCACTCACTGCCTGGAGATCCCCGATCCACAAACCCACAAACTCCAGCTGGGAAGCAACGTGGCAGATGCATGGCACCTTGGTCCCCAGGGCTGCAGCCCAGAAGCATACGGCCACTTTGGGGTGTCCCAGGGTCCTTCCAAGGCGGTGGTG